GAAATAAAGGGAAAATACATTGAACCAAAAATTATAGTTGTGGAAAAATGTCACCAGCTGGCTTTAATTGGTTACAAATATTCCTTAATTTGCAACATACCGAAATTGTTACCATAGCTTTTTCAGGCAACTTCAAAGCGTCCAAGAGGAACCAATTGTCACATTCATGTTTATAATTTTCATTACAGCTTCTTAATCTTTTTTATATAATATTATAATAATTCCTGATTCCTGATGCAAGACTTTGGTCAAAAGTCAAAGAATTACCACAGTGTTCCCACTTTCTCCTCTCCTTTTGGCATCTATGCTTTGTTGGCCAGATTCTCCTTCCGCTTCAGTGCTTGGCAGCACCACAGCTTATGTTGTTGTCTAGCTTGGCCCAAACTTTCAAAGTTTAGATTCCAATTTTCTTCTTCCTTATTAACATAAACATAATATATACAAGTAAAATGTCGTAATTGTCTTTTCTTATTGCAATTTGATGAAATTTATCACTTTCAACGTATGTCAGCCATTAATGGGTTGTCTAAACGCTTTTCGAAAAAGAAAAAAAGGGTTGGCTAAACTAGTGAATGCAGTTTAAAAAGTACTCACAGAAGACCTTGACTCATTGTTTGCAACTGACCCTTTTTCAAATGTTGTTCATATTGAGGCTTCTGATGAGTTAAAAAAAAAAGGAAAAATACTAGAGTTCTCTTAAGAAGTACATGGGGTTTCTGTTGAGGTCTGGAGGGTAGCATCAGATTGCACCTCTGTCATAAGGATATGCAAATGGTAAAGGGTCTGATATAGTATAACACAATAGAGAAAAACCCTTTTTTTTTTATCCTTTTGTAGTGTTTTGACTTTTGATTATTGTTTTAAGTGAATATGTACAACAGTATAAAAGCATCTACAAGCTTTAATTATCATGCATGATGCAAACTGGCCACAAAAGAAAGAGCATGATGGACTAAACTTGGAAGCATTTTAGTGCTTTGAATCTAACACAAAATCAGTCTGTTACGATTGCTTGGAGAGTTGGAATGATATTAGAGTTCTTCAAGAATATTTGTAATGTTTGCTATTTGTTCTATATAAACTACAAGCTTATGAGAGGATTGCTGCCTTAAATCTTACCCTTACTCAAAAGCTGAGTTCAAATCCTCCTTTTTTCATATTAAAAAAAAAAAAACTTATGATAGGGGGATGTTGTCTTTTGTGAGTCTTTATGACATATTCTAAGTACAAAACATTTAGTATGAATGCTGCAAGGATTGGAAAGGAGAAAAAACAGAAAAGCTATGCAGAAAACTCTAGTTTTTTTTTTCCCAGCTTCATTTACTTGCTAATATATTTTTACAAATTTGCTACGCAAGCTCAGAACAGTAGCTAGGCACAGGATTATTTGTTAGTCATTACATAAGCCATTCACTAGATGCATAGCTATCATAATTTGACAATAAGCTAGCTATCCTTAATATAGAATAATCACACATAGTCTTAGGGTTAATAGCATGAACTGATGTCGTTTTCAATGCAAGCCCTATTTCAACATTCCTCCGTAGGAATTGCTTTGCAAGCCCCTAGCATCAATTTAAGGTCTTCAAACCTCTCCTTTGGTGATGCCTTGGTGAAGATATCTGCTACTTGCTTATTTGAATTGCAGTAGCTGAATTTGACTTCATTCATTTTTTTTGCTTCTCGAATGATATGAAACTTTACATTAATGTGCTTGGTTCTACCATGATATACAGGATTCTTAGCAATAGCAATTGATAATTTGCTATCCAAGAACAATTTAGTTGCTTCTTGTTGATGAAACAATTTTCTAAGCTAAACAATTTGGTTTACTGCAGCTACAACAATAACATATTTTGCTTTAACGGTAAATTAAGCTACCACTTCTTGCATTCTAGTATTCTAGCTAAATGCAACACCTCCTAAGAAGAACATATAACCAGAGGTACTTTTGAAATCTCTGGCATCTCCAGTATAATCTCTCTCACTGTAACCATATAATTCACTTCATTCAAGTGTTTGAAGTGTAAGCCGAAGTCAAGAGTGCCTTGCAAGTATCTCAGAATCCTCTTTGCAGTTGAAAGGTGCTGAACAGTAGGACTTTGCATAAATCTTAAGAGATAACTAATTGAGAACATTATATCAGGCTTTGATCCACATGCATAAAGTAGACTACCAATTAAGGTTTTGTAGATAGAAGGATCAGTGAGTTTAGGAGAGTTAGCATCATTGAATTTATTATTTATAACCATTGGAGTTCCAACTGATTTGCACTTCTCCATATTGAACATTTTCAAAATAATATAGTTTTTTTGATAAAAGTAAATGCCCTAGTCATACTAATCAATTTATAATCCCAAGCAGTACTTTTTTCTTCCCAAATTAGTCATCTCAAACTCAATCTTCATGGCCACCTTGAATTGAGTTATGAGTTTTCTTTCAAGACCTATAACAAATAGGTCATTTACATACAAGAAAATCATTAACTTTACTTGATACCTTTAAGACATAAAAGTTTGGTATGAGGGAAGTGAGAGCATATTCTCTATATCGTGCTCAATTAAATTACATTGCAATCACATTATAATTAATGGATGTAATGTGATTGTAGTCAAAAACCAATAAAATCTGATTGCATTGCAGTCTGTAATTATTAATAACATTTTTACCTTTCAACTTTATTACTTTGTTAAAAACATTTTGCAATGTTATAATTTGTTTTTTTAAATATATATTTCGAGAGATGTGTTTTTATTATTTTCAGTAGTTATGGTGATTGTCAATAAAATTTATATTATCTTTTAAAGAAAAAAATTAAAATAAAATATATAATATAAAAAATTATATTAAGAAATGAAAATAAAATATACAAGATTATAATAAGAAATGAAAATAAACTATTTAACATTAAAAATATATTTAAGAGATAATATTATATAAAATTAACAATAAAAAATACAAGTATATTAAACTTGCATTTTAATAAATAAGGGTAATCTTAGAAATTAACATTATATTCATAGCAAAATACTTGTAAATCAAACGTTGCAATATTATCTACCCTGCATTTTAATCATTATTTTGCTTTTATAGCAAACACTGTAATATTATCTTCCCTGCAATCACATTGTTTGCAATCATATTATTTGTAATCATATTGCATTGTGAAGTACCAAACGTCATCTAAATATAGGTTTACTTACACTCCTACAAAACCTTTTTGACTCCAAATAACTGTCCATCTTGCTATACCAGGCTTTAGAGGCTTATTTAAGACCATATAAGGCCTTATGCAGCTTGTAGGCCTTGTTGACCCTATCATTGACTTTCAACCCTTCAGGTAATTCAACATAATATCTTCCTATAGAAAGTCATTCAAGAATGGTGACTTGCTATCAAGATGATGAACCAACTATTGCAAATAAAAGTCTAACTGTCTCAAATCTAGCCACTAGTGCAAATGTATCAGTAAAATCAATTCCTAGTTGTTGAGCATAACCTTTCACAACCAACCTGGTCTTATGCTTGTTGATTGAACCATCAACATTGAACTTGGTTTTAAAAATCCATTTGGTGCCAATGACATTCATAGAATCTGTTCAAACAACCAAGGACCAAGTTTTGTTCTTGTTGATCACGCTTAGCTCCTCTTTCATTGCAGCCTACCAATGCATTAGGTCTTTAACTTCAGCATAAGTTGTAAGGTTTGTAATGGCCATATTGCATTTGTTATACATGCTTTTGAGTGTCTTGGTACCTCTGACAGCAACTTTAGTATCTTCAGGATCTTTATTAGGTTTTTGAACCACTTTTGGTAATGTCCTTGGACCAAGCAACTTGTCATTAGTAGTCTCAATAACTTTAGATTTCCAATTCCACTATGCCTGCAAATCAAAATTTATGTCTTTGGCCACTTGAACTTTCTTATACTTCAAATTAAATACTCTGTATCCTTTTGCTTGTAAACTGTATCCCAAGAACACTCCTACCTCAACCTTTGGTTTCAACTTAGACCATTTTGCCTTGGGCACATGAATGTAGCAGATGCTACCAACTATTCTGAGATGTTCCACTACTGGTTTGACATGGTGACAAACTTCAAAAGGAGTCATTTTGTTCAATGCCTTTGTTGGACGTATGTTTTACAAATAAACTGCAGTGTTGACAGCTTTTGCCTAAAAATACTTAAGCATTGATTTTCCAAATGAGAAGCACTTAACCATGTTTAACACTGTCCTATTCTTCCTTGCATAAGTTCCATTTTGTTGGGGAGAATAGGCAATGGTAAACTAATGCTTGATGCTTGCAGCAATTAAATATTCATCAAACTCAACAGAGGAATACTCTCCACCATTATCTTTTCTATAATTCTTAATTGAAGTTCATCATAAGCATTGAACTTCTTAAATACTGAAAACACATTAGATTTAAGCTTGATGAAATAAATCCAAGTCATCCTAGTGTAGTCATCAATGAACAATACAAAGTACTTATTGCCATTGAGTGATTCAACATCCATTGGACCACAACCATTAGAATGCACAGGTTCAAGCCTTTCTAACGTTCTCTTGGTGCTTTTCAAAGGAAATGGGAACCTTGTTTGTCTCCCCAATTAACAAACTTCACATATTTTTGAATGAATCTATATAAGGGGCATTTTTGTCACTAAATTTTCAAAATTTAACAATTTCATTATTGAGTAGCTACAGTATACAATCCTTCTACGCCATAGCTCAAACACATTATAGCCAACTTTCTCAACTACATTCAAATTCACATTGCTACCAATTCAACGCAAGATATTTGTTATCATGCTCATTGTCATAAGCTGTCTACCAGAAGGCTCAAGTGTAGTACATGCTTTGTTCTCGAACAACAAGATATAATTATTTTCAAGAATTTGGCCAACACAAAGTAACTTTTGACATGCTTGAGGCGTTAGGAACACATTTTGCTGCCTCATAGTCACTGTTTCTCTCTTGCGTACATATATTTGGTCCTTAATAATGTGGCAAAGAACTAATACCATAACCAGTAAATGGAGGAGTCAGGGGAGACAGATAACTCACCATATCATGTTGGTGCATATATATGTTGTCATAATTAGCTATCATATTGTTATTGTTGTGCCCGTCCTGCATGTAAGTGTTCATATGTGCAGATGGATTATTGTGGTGGTACCCACGCTGCAAGTTGGTTTTGAACATGGATGGTAGATGATTATATTCATAAGTTGGCAACCTGGATGGAACCTCATGAAACATACCAAATTCTTGTCCTCGTAAGCCAACAAAACCAGCACGATTGCCTCCAAAACCTGCAGGATCCATCATGGATATCATATATCCATTGTTGGCAAACGTGTCTTCATCCTCTCGTCCCATGTGCATACTGTGCAAATTTGTTTTTTCTATCAAATTCTGACCTACCTCTCCTGTCATGGAGTGCTTGCCAATGTTGTAGTTGAGATAGTTTCCAAGATCATCTTCAACTTCATAGCCAAAGGTACTTTCATGCTCAATTTTGGAGTCAATGATACCATCCCTTAGATATTGCATTTGGTTTTTGTTCTTATCATCTTTTATGAATTTGAGGTGGCTACTTGGGGACCAAAACTCTGCATGTTTACCAGATTTGATCAACTTCTTGATCAATGTAGTTGGATCAACTTTTCCTGTTACGTTGACCACTTGGTGTTCCTCATCTATGTGAACCGAAAAAACCCCTGAATCCAAAACAAGAACCAAAAGACATCTCAGTTAACCAGTGAAACAGTAATTACTATAACAAAACAGCATAGAAATAACAACAATCAATCAATGACAATAATGAAAAGATGAAAAAAAAGTCGGATAATGTGTAATAAGCACCTTCAATTTTCAGGAGGAGTTTCTTCACCCTTTTTTTGCACCCTTCACAGTTAATGTTTACTTTGAGCACATATGTCTGTTTAAAAAAGGGAAGGTAAAAGCTTTAGTGAATGGCCATCAGAAGGCAATAATAAAGAAAGAAAACGAGGAAAAAAGTGGAAAGAGAAGAAACCTCAATCTTTTCGAGCTCCAAGCCAGTTCTTAACATTCTCGACAGTGTTCCTACCAAAGGAGAATGCCAAGTTTGTCTACTCTTGTTTTCTATTTCTGTGGTATTCTGTTTCCCTTTTCTGCACCAAACTTGTGAAGATTTGTTTGCCTATAAAGCCATGATTCCCACAGAAAATAGTGTGACAGAGCATGGTCCGTAGCAGAGAAAGAATGGTTCGAACTGAAAAAATGTGATTTGACTTGGCTCACAGAATTGACACCTTTTGACAGCCGCAGGCAGAGTCCATGTGCACCATTTTCTCGTGAGTTTTGGCCTGGTTCAGGGCTAGGCAGCTGCCATATATGTTTATAATGCATTTGAGTTGTTTCTTGGTTTCATGGTGTGCTCATATATTTGAGTGACAATGTTCAATGTTTTGTACTGGGTAGTAAAGGACTCTTGTTCAGACACTAGCCACCTGGTGCTAACCAAAACTGACTACAAAAAGCATTGTAAAATAAAGTCCAAGCAAGCTTTAGGCTTAGATTTTTATTCAATTATAAGGTTATGATACTTTAAAATCTGACAAAATAATCAAGAATTGCATGCAGAATCTTTTGGCTGATTTTCGTGAAATGCATGACAATGAAAAGTTGAAACCAAATCATTCTGTTAGACCTCTGACCAAAGCCAATCTCATTCTGTTAGCAGCATTTGTTGGTTTCAATTTGGATTATGACCCTTTTGGTCTTTATTTACTCAAATCTGAAAAGAGATTCTTTTGTTTACTCAAGTCGATTTCTCAAAGATTTTTTATAAAAGAGGAGATACAAAGAAGAAAACAACCTAACAAATAGATTTTGAGAGAATAAAATATGGTAACAATTTTATAAAGTATCAAAACTAATAGTAACTGATTTTACTCAGATTAGATTATAATAGATTACATTACCTGATTTTATTTATAGTCCCTTGACTCTTAAAAAATTGAGCATAAAACGACTCCAAAATCAAGTTCTAATTCAATTATTAATATATTAAAATGGGTTTTTTTTTATTCACATTAAAAAAAATCCTTCTCCACCGCTATAAATACAGGTTGATAGGTATTTTTTATCCCAAAAGCCTTGTCACCATGAAGACCTTAGTAATTTTGTTGCTGCTGTCACTCACTTTGTTTAGCACTGCTTTGCATGCAAATGCCGAGGCATTGTCCGATCTTAAGACACAGCGGTTGGACACCGGAGGCTTGAGCAGGGAGACTTTTCCGGGGGGTTTTGTGTTCGGGACGGCCACATCGGCATATCAAGTTGAAGGAATGGCTAGCAAGGAGGGTAGAGGACGTAGCATATGGGATGTCTTTGTCAATATTCCAGGTTAAATGAAATGATTTTGGGTCTTTTTGAATAAGACTTTAAATGCTAATGCTAAAAGAAGGGATGTGATATATGCAACAGGAAATATTGTAGGTAATGCTACAGGTGAAGTTTCTGTGGATCAGTATCACCGTTATAAGGTATGGCTTTTTCCTTTTACCAATGCTAGCCAGCACTTTACTTTACCTTGTAAGAAAAGCAACCCCTTTTTCTATTAATTCAAAGGCTTGTATTCCAAGCAATCAGATCTAGGTAGGTATATGGACGATCACCATGTTCTATCTGCCTCATCTCTGCATCATATGTGAGAGTTGGGACTACTCACAAGATTCTAATACCGTTTTCTACTGTTCCTGATGCTTGCAGGAAGATGTTAATCTGATGCATATGTTGAACTTTGATGCCTACCGGTTTTCGATCTCATGGCCCAGAATTTTTCCAAGTACATACACCATCTACCATGTCTATATCTACCTTCGATTGAATTGATAACATTTTGTATACACATTCCAATTTTTGACTAATTGTTGCTCATATTTATTGATTTATGTAGATGGGACAGGAAAGGTAAACTGGAAGGGAGTTGCCTACTACAATAGATTGATCAATTCCTTGCTTGAGAAAGGTATTAATTTCAATACCATAGACTATTGGTTGAGCATAACAGAAATTGATGTGTCTACCACTACCTTAGACTCCAAGGTTTTCGATGGCTAATGAAGATACCGAAATTTTGAATTGAAAAATAATAGCAGTATTCTAGCTATACTTTTGTAAACTGGATGAAATATTTATCTATGTAGGAATTACCCCATATGCGAATTTGTACCACTACGATCTCCCACTTGCACTTCAGGAGAAATATGGAGGTTTGCTGGGTGACCAAGTTGTGTAAGTACAGAGACAACTTCTCTTTGTTACGTGAAAGAGGCTATCACTTTAGAAATTTATCTAAACTGTAAAATAAATTCACATTGATTTGTAAAGGTGTTTAAATCTTGCAGGAAAGATTTTGCTGATTACGCAGATTTCTGTTTCAAGGCATTTGGTGATCGAGTAAAGAATTGGATGACATTCAATGAACCAAGGGTGATTGCTGCTCTGGGATTTGACAATGGCATCAATCCTCCTTCTAGATGTTCAAAACCATTTGGAAATTGTACTGCTGGAGACTCTGCAACCGAGCCTTATATTGCAGCACATAATTTGATTTTAAGTCATGCTGAAGCCACTAAAAGATATCGCGAAAAATATCAAGTAGTGATCATTCTGAAGTTCTCAATTAATTGGTTTTCGAATCTATTGGTTCTTTGATAATTTAATACTTATTTGAATGATTTTGATTTGCTTCTTTCAGACTAAACAGAAGGGAAGAATTGGAATCCTCTTGGACTTTGTTTGGTATGAGCCTCTGACAAGAGCAAAGGCTGACAACTATGCAGCACAAAGAGCAAGAGACTTCCACATCGGATGGTAAAATTCCTGAACACTTACTATGAAATGCAACTGTCTTTATGTTCTTCTTGTCTTGTGAAGATTCAAACAGGAGTCATCATAAAGTAAAATGAATGAAACATCAATACATCCAGAGCCCCAAAATAGATCTGCCTACTAATCTAAGGAGGGCATGTTTGTGAATTCTATTTTGCAGGTTCTTGCACCCCCTTGTATATGGAGAATATCCAAAAACAATGCAAAATATTGTAGGAGAAAGGCTTCCAAAGTTCAGCAAAAGTGATGTCGAGACCGTGAAAAACTCCTTTGATTTTATTGGTGTCAACCAGTACACCTCTTTCTACATGTATGACCCGCATCAGCCTAAGCCCAATGTGACTGGTTACCAACAGGATTGGGATGTTGGGTTTGCTTGTAAGTCCTCTGATCATATCTTCCTGTCTCGTTGACCAAAAATATGGAACTTACCTGTTTGTGTTTGCAATTAACAGTTGAACGGCGGGGAGAGCCAATTGGTCGTCGGGTAATATTTTAGCATCATTGACTTTGCGAAAACTAATCAAAAATAGGAAAAAAAAAAATTTCTTTAATATTTGACATGCAATGTTCAATCAAATTGTTACGGAAAATCCTAGCAAAAGAAGTGTTAATATTAATGCACCAAGAAAATTGCAGGCTCAGTCTGGATGGCTGTACCAAGTTCCATGGGGTCTATACAAAGCTGTCACATACGTTAAAGAGCGTTATGGAAACCCCAATGTAATTCTCGCAGAAAATGGTAAGGCAGAAAAAACTCTTCCTGATCATTGTAAATTAACCAAGGTTTAAATCTCAATTTAATTTGTTGTATTAATGGCAGGAATGGATAACCCTGGCAATGTCACATTTCCTGAAGCATTGTTCGACAGAGAAAGAGTAAATTACTATAGAAGCTACTTGAAAGAATTGAAGAGAGCTATGGATGATGGAGCCAATGTGACTGGCTACTTTGCTTGGTCCTTGCTTGACAACTTTGAATGGCTTTTGGGTTATAGCTCTAGATTTGGCTTGGTTTACGTTGATTTCGAAACTCTCAAGAGGTACCCAAAGATGTCAGCTTATTGGTTCAAACAAATGCTGGAGAGAAAGCAGCAGTAGGATCAGGTTAACTTGTTAGGTTTTTCAGGTCTTTTCCATGATCGTGTTTTCATCTTTTCTATCCTTTATCTAAAATGATTACTGTGTTTTAGAGTTTCTGCAATAATATTATTTTGTGAGCCAAGTTCTAAGTCTGTGCAATACCGCCTATGAAAATTCGCACTCATGCATTCGTGGATAAAACTCAAGACACTGTACAATGGTAACTCTTATGAAGCCTTCTTATTGCCTTTGAAGGAAGGCCTCGTTGATAATTAATGAGCGAGAATAATAATAGAAAATCTGCTAACTAAAGCGAAGAAAATATATATGATATCATACTCCTGAAACCAAGGAATGTTCGGTATATGGAAGATTCAGACGAAAGCATTGTCATCGATGAGCTTTGCCAATGTTCAAGGGAACTCATCCTCCCTAGAAATTGTGAAATATAATATTGAGGATCGTGGTGCGAGGCACCATGCACATCCACCCTTTGCATAGCATTTTATTTTATATGTAAATCAGCATTTAAATTTTTTAAATTGATTTTTAAATAATCGATTTCAAATTCTCTTTCTTTAAATAAACAAAATATAAAATATATAGTTAATATTCGATTTCTCTTATTACACTACAAATGTCAAGTAGTATTCATCAATATTTAAGTACTACAAATTATTTATGAAAATATAGTATTCTCAAAGCATAAAAGGAAAAAAAAAAGTATTCAAGAGAGTAAAGTATCACATGCATAGAAATCAAGGGACGCTAAATAATTTTATACAATGTAAATTATCCTGGATCAAAACATAAAAAATAAATAAATTATCATTGATTATTTTCAACAATTAATATTTGGAGAATCAGAATAGAAATAAAAATTATAAGATTTATGATAGATAAAGGACATACATCATTCTGATTTAATGTTCAAATGATGAACTCATACAATCAATTCTCTAATTCTATGAAGCTATTTATTATAAAATAAAAACAAACCAAATTCAAGAGTAAATTAAAATTATAACCAAGTTAAAATGCGAAAGACACCCAAATAAAATATGTATTTCTACCACTGCAACCTAGAGTAGTTGTAAAATATCTAAAAAATTATGGATTGAATTATTTAAAAGTTAAAGAAAGAAAAACTTTCTCATTACATAAATTAAGTTTTCGTTTTATTGATATTTTTAATATATATATACATATATAATGAATAAAAAAGAAAGTGAATTGAAAACAAAAAATTAAGAATAGAAAGTAAATAGTAAAATACCCAGTTGATCACTAATTTTTAAAAAACTTTTATCTTGGTTACTCAATTTTGAAAAATCATGTCTTTATCAGGAATATATTTTCAAAATTAACATTTTAGATTATTGTGTATATGACAAATCAATTGACCTTGACCGTGTGGTTTGTCCATGTCAATTCATCTACCACGTGCTAAGGTTAATTGAATTGACATGCATAATGCTATATGATGGATGAGTTGGCACGAATATGTGTACGTAATCAAAATCAATTGACATCAATTGATGCGTTAGAAAGTCAAGTTTCCAATGGCTAAGTGACCAAAACGTAAACGTTAGCTTCCATAAATGTTGATAACCCACACATGACCTTGAGTAAGCGACCAAAGCATAAGCTCAAAAGTTTTAAGTGACGAGGAACCTATCCAATAATAAATATTAAAAATATTAGTCCGACAAAAACTAAGAGAATTAACTAAAAATTTAAGCCGAAGTCATGTTCTTGGTGCAATGAAAGCCTGGGGTATTACAACTGTTTGTGACTAGGAAAGTTAACCCAAGAGTTTAATGCCCAAGTGAACGTTACCAGTGCAATGAGAGCTTGGGGTATTAAAATTATTTGTAAGAGTTGGTCTAGTAAGTAATAACCTTTATCCAATGACTAGAAAGCGTTAAATGTCACAAACGAATGTAGAAATTTATCACATATTTATTAAGATATAACTTAATAACTTTATATAATCCTGCATTAAGAATGCTGAAAAAAGAGCTAAATTTGGCAGTAATACGAAACGAGCGCCATATGCACCTGGCCAACCCTACAAATAAACTAAAAATACTTTCGGGTACATTTGACTAAGTTAAAAGTGATGTTGAAGGGTGATTCAGATGCCATAAAAGTGTGTTTATCCACCACCTTAACAAAGAGAATCATGATGCTACCCTCTTAAGACTCGCTTGGCTCATCCAACATCTCAACCACAGGAGCATACTGCACAAGTGAAAGAATGGTGAGAGACAAAGAGAGTGAAAGAGGGCTTGGATCTTATGCAAATCACTTAAATACACCGACCTCATCATCCTCTTCAAAATAGATTCCATCAACCGCACTTTTCTGCTGGAACTCCCATCCTAGCCTGTTCTCAAGCAGCTCTTCTAATTTCCTTGCCTGCAAGTGCTCAAACACTCAAGTCAGGATTTCCACCTCGCATAATTTCCTACAGCTGAAATTCAAATAAGAAAATGCAGGGGAATGGACAAGAATTGACAATACTCATACTCCAATACACACTACTTAGTAATACAGATCGTCTTTATTGGTAATTAGCTTGAATTTATCATGGATGCCACAACAGCTAAAGCTTAGATCTTCAAATTTCAGATGTGGGATAAGGCATGTCATGCACAAATGAAAATTTCAGGTGATCGTAATATAACAGTTATAATTATTTAAAGTTGCAAGAGAAATAGAACATGAATAATAAACCTAGCCCAGACAATTTGTCAAGAGAAGGGAGAGAGTGTGTGGAAGACACGGGTGAAGTGAGAAACTCTTTCCTAGTTGTAACATGTTTTGGCAACACCAGATCAATAACTATGGAAATCTTTTCTCCTTTACCAATGAAAAACTACATGAAAAGAGCCAAGCTTAGTACACATACCCATGACAGAAGATCTCCATCAACAACTGAAGCATCTTGCATCAATGAAAAGAAATCCTGTCATTCCATCATCCACCCACAAATCAGTTTGTTTCGTTTAGAGCAGGCTAATGTTGCTGAACAATGGTTGCTTTAATCTTTGAGTGAAACAAGGTCAAAATAAAACAGAAAAGTCACATGCTCCAATCGCTAAAAGCAATGCCAGAATTTGACAGACAGATGCAGGTTTCAATTATCTCATGGCAACATAATCATGCTAATAATCAGTCAGAACAACCATGCACCTACAAATCATGTAAACTACCTTGCAAAGGTGGTGCAGAAAGCTATCAGAAGAAAACCATGAATCATCTAATAATGCTGATGTCCCTGCCTCCGCAATACTGCTATCTTTCTGAAGTCCACATTTCAGTTGATAGTAAATGACCTTAATGAACTGTCACAAGCCATTCTCACGTCAGATATTAACATTAAAATATAAACATCAATACAGGAAAAAGCCGAAATACGTTATTGACAGACATTTGATACAAACTGAAAGAGAGAAAAATATAGCTCCAAATCAGTATGCATAAAATTGCATGGAATAGCAAATTTTCTTCACTACGGTATTACCATAGTGGACGGAACTACACTTGTTAGGACAAATTTGCGCAAGAGAAGGACCCCAGACAAAGAGACAATCAATTCAAGAAAATTACCTTTGAAAACAGCTGACTCCTTGTACGGAAAGGCTGCAAAAAATATAAAATGGCAAAGTGAAGGACAAAGCAAAAAATAACAAATGTGTTGGCTACTAACTCACATTAAGTAATTTAACAATGACAACAAAAAGTTGGATATACATGAAGGAAACTGCAAGCCTTTTGAAAAATGGAGCCAATAAAACATTTATGCAGGAGACGAAGCATAATTAGTGATTAGCATGGATTTATTTGGATGTCCAAGAGCACACCTAGGATACCTTAAAAATAAAATTGTTCAAGATCAAGCATCAAATATTACTATAGTTTCTTGTTCAAGTTAGTATTTCCTTTATGTTGCAGCTTCATGTCAGGGAGTTAACTCCACTCCTTATCAGGCATTGGCTGTCTATTCAGAATGTTAAAAGTTCAATAAATCAGGATAATAAACTCAGAAGACCTGATTAGTCAGTTTACTTCTTATTCAGTAAATCTCCCCATTGTTGATAGAAGATCAGTTAACTTAACCTTTGATATTAGATGTTATTACATGAGTAACTTACTCTTCAATAGACATCAAGTGGCTTATTCTTCGTATTCTACAATATCTCAGATTTTAGTCATCCCAATGCAACAAGTAGCATTTTTTTAAAGCCAGGTCATATGCAGAGGCTGAATTGATGAGATAAAAATTTATATTACACCAGAGTAAGCAAGGATAAAAGCCTTAATATTCAAATGTATTTAAGCCCCTTTTCGCTATTATGCTTTAACACTGTAATGCATTCAACTCTTCAGGTTTGCAGTCAGTTGTATGACAAGTTTTATGAGAAGAGTGCTACTGGCACATCTAGGAAGCATCAAAATACTTTCTGCCTAATCGAGAACCAAGAAAACCATCACTATCAATCACTAATGATAATAATAGTTAGATGGATGAAGATGACATAGTTATATAGGGAAGAAAAGAGAAAAGACAAACCAGAAGCAACTAACAACATTTTGCACTTTTTCCCCCTACCCCTTTTAGGTGATAAATGGGTGAATTACAAAAACACCCCTGACTATATCTTGAAAAGCCACTAACCCCTCTCTTATTTGAAAATACCCCTTTACCCCCCTTGGCCTTCCCAGTTAGTCAAATCGTTACCTCTTTTAGACTCCACAACAACATCATCCATAAATACCAGGTCTATATTTTTTTGACAAAAATGTCCGTTTTCTTCCCTAAGCATTGTTTAGATCTTTTTCCTTTTAATTTTTGTTTTCTTTTCCCTCTGTACTGCTTCTTTGATTCTTTCCGGATAGCTTTCAATCTCTAGTAATGGAGTCAAACTGGCATCGAATCTTTAATGGAATCCTTAATTGAAAGGAGAACTTGATTTAATTAAGCAAACAACAAATAAACAAAAGTAGCATCTGGAGTTTCAAGACATCAAACACATTTGATGCTACAACATAGATTTTGATTTTCAAATACAAGGCCTCCAATATCAATCTACAAAAATCAATTCCAAGAAAATTAAAATTTAACTCAGTGAAATGAAGCCCCTATCAACCACCCAACCATCATTCCTTGCAATACATACAATGAAATCAACCCACAAAAATCAAACCCCTGAAAAAAAATTTAACTCAATCATCTTCACCAACAAATTATGACGAATTTCAAAAGATTATAAACATTTTAAATGTATTTTTTAAAAAATAAATTGAAAGGAAAGAAGGGAATAATGGCAAGGGAAATGAGAGACTAAGTGGAATACCAGTAATGGAGTCCACTAAGCACTAATTTAAAACAGGCCCATTCCTTACATTTTCTGAGATAGAGAGAGAATGACAACTCATACTGAAACAAAAGGAGAAAGGAAGGGGAAGAGGAGGAAATAGAGAGAAGGAGAGCTCAATATTCGGGAAAAAACATGAGAAAGAAAAAAGGCAAGAGGAGGAAAGAGGATGGCCGGCATACAAAGCCATCAAAGACTATGGAGAAACAGTAAATGATAGGAAACAAGAGTCAAGAAAGACACTTTTGTCTGCAAATGTGACCTGGCATTTTTTAGATGATGCGGCTGTAGGGTCTGAAATAGATTACAGTCTGCCCAACAGAGTTAGAAGTCACAGGATAAAGGGACATTTTGAAACAAGAGGGGGGTTAGTGATAGAATGCCACACCGATAGGGTATATATCAACCATTTATAAAGGGTCAATTTAAAATTAATATAACAGTAAAAAACCACATTTTTAAATACAAGAGTTCAGAAATGAAGCAAAATTGCAAGATAAAAAGCTACTTACAGCCTGAGTACAGCCAAACAGAAGGCTGACCAAAGATTTCCATTGAATGAAAGCTTCAAGTGATTGCCCCATCTGCATGATTTTTATATGTTAAAAAATCAAACGATAACAAATCTTAAGTGAAAATGTCATGTTATTCAGTTCATACCAAAAATGCTATAAATGCAAATTGCAGCTCCCCAAGAAGTGAGTCTTCAGAGCCGCCATAATCCTTCACCAGTAAGGTTTCTAACAGTTCTGTCTGAATGGAGAAGCAAACATTTATATCTACATGTTATTATGTTTTGAAGCCTTTAAAGCATAATATTTAACATAATATTTAGCCATACTTGCCTTGTCAAGATTCAAAGAAGTAAGTTGGCCACTTTCAATTCCTTTGCGCTTTACGATATGTGGAATTGGTGTGTAGTAGCATCCTCTTCTCTGAGATTTCTCACCAGGTGTGGAGAACTTACTATTCCTCAAATGCTCATCTAAAGCTCTCTCCATGGCATTCTTAGGAGTATTTTTCAGCATCCCAGATTCATATGTGACTGTAATTTCTCCTCCAATGGGTTCTGCGCATTGGATGTATCACGTTGGATCATGCTAAGCTCACTATCATCAAAGCATATATTATATTCCTAAACCCATCAAAAGTCCTTAAATCACTGAAAATCGACAATGTAACATGGAACTCATAACATAGACCAGAATCAGATAAATACTGAACTCTTAGGCAACAACAAGTCAAAAACCCCAATCAGCTAGATACTGAACTCTTAGGCAGTCACAAGTCAAACACCCCATTTCAATGACACTCAATCAAGAAATTTCATGAGTCACAAGAATTTTCCTTTGAGGAGCCATTTTTTAGTGCAAGAATAACAAACTGGCATACTAGGTTCAAGTCTCTATCACTCTATTGAAAAAAGTTAATAAAGTTAATTGGTCTCTTAAGAACTATTTTGCACACTGCTAGATATTGAATAATCTTCCCATTGAAAATTTTGTTTTAAATGCGCTGTCTACTAGTGCACATGTTTCCAAAGTTAATCTATATACACACTGTATATGCCCCAGTTTAAACCAAGAAAAATGATTGAAATTATCACAGAAATTTAAGCTAACCAAGAAGGTGTTAAAAGCATGAACTTGAAGAAGAAACATCCTAGCATCAGTGCCAAACATGTGGTAAACCAAAGGCTGTATCCAAATAGGAGAAACCTAATCGTTCAATGGTGCTTTTTGTGATGTAATTAGACAATCTCTTCCAATCTGCATAATGGCTTAGATCATAAGGACCAACATGCTTGTCAAACTCCAAATTTCTAACTGCTCGACTGTATCTCTCTTCCTAAAAACAGAAATAAAGAAAAAATAATTATATTCATTATAAAAGGAAAAACAACAAGTTGCTCTTAATATTTAACTTAATATCATCTCAATTCAAATCCTCAGAAATCATAAGCATTTCTCTGCAGAGAAGTATTTCAAACAAACGAATACTTAAGCAAATCATAAGCAAATATTTAATCTAGTAAGAACTAAAACATCAGCATCAGCACCAGCACCACAACAACAACAAACAAAGCATCTTCCCACTACATGGGGCAAACTATCAGGATCATATTGTGCCAGTGCGCCCCATATAAGACCATATTCCTCCAGGTGCTCAGTAAAAACTCATAGCTTTGTCAAAATTTCAAGACAAGCATTGACCTTAGAATATCTCACAGCACTAACATAGGATTGCAGAAATCAATTTTCCAAATCTCAAGTCCAGTTTTCAAATTCAAAAAGCTAAAGAAATTAGGGACAAGAATCTAGCAATTAAGAAAAAGGATCAGATTGTTTATTTAAGTTCCAGCAAAACTCCTAGATCCACTTAATAGAATGTCTCAGATTATGAGCATATGTGCTTGAAGTGTGCATTGACCAACAACGTTTTCGCTTAATTGTCAGAATACATGAACAGGCAGAACCTGAGGAACTTAAAGCAGAGCAAAGAGAATACGTGAGCAAACTTGATAGAACAGTTCAAAAATCATTATGTTTTGTTTCTAAGATGCATTTATCCTGAACTATTTAGCAGGCTAGCAGATTGTGAAAGAGGTGCCATATGAGAATGACAAACATTCCCTCATATTTTTAAGGCTTGAATTTCCATATCATAGAGTACTTTAATCATTAGTCTACTATGATATTAATTTGCACATGCATCATCAACAACGATATAAGAAACACACTTAATAAGAATTCAAACCTCTTCTTCCGATACTTTAAATAAGCATTCCTCTTGTGGATTCCACCTACGAACAACCACCTGCCAATAATAGCATATACTCATTCAACTCAAGTCTTGCTCCCAGTCTTTGAGATGAATCAACAAGTTTTTCTGTTTACTGGAGTTCATGGGCTTGCCAGATTCCATGAGGAACAAGCAAATGCCCAAACTAAAACTCTTAACCAATGCACTTTTTTACTCAGCAATGCCAATACAGAACAATGCCGTAAAATTCAACTCTTGTAATTTAGATAATATAAGCACCCATAAATATCACCATTAGGATAAATAAATGATGACAATTATTCCGAACGATACCACAGCAGCATACAATCCATATCATACATCAATAAACATATAGGCATTATAAAAACTTTTCTTTTTTTCAACTTTTTGTATTGCAATACAAGCACTATCATGCCCAGCACTTCTTTTCTGGTAATCTCTCTAAATATTAGAACCGTTAGTGGTTTTAATGATTGGCAACTTCCATTTTAATATAATACTATAATAATGCCACTACGCAATGAAAATTTTTAGCAAAAATGAATAAAGAAATTCAAACCTGAGAGCGGCCAGCATCCATAAAGAAGCCTATAATTGGTGAGAACTCTTTGCCATCTCTGCATATCAATTAATAAAAAGAAATGATATTGACAACGCTAGAACCCAAAAACACTTGTTATTTCATGAATCCTGCACAACCCGGATAATTGAGCCAAGATACTAAAATTACTCACTAACACTATTGCAAATACCAGCTTTAATTATCAACTTAATGTTTTCTTATATTTGAGCTCAAACCAAGAGTATAACAAAGCATCATTCAATGAACTTTTTAACCTTGTAGAAGAGCTGTAAAAGACGAAATGAACGCCCGGAGGAATCATTTTAATTCCTTTAAAAGCGGGCCCCACGTAGAACGCCTGCAAACGAGAAAAGAAAATAGAATTTAAAACCGAATTACTTAAAATTTGATTTTCTATTTCCATTCTTTCTTACAGTTTCTCGAGAAACAAACAGAGTTTGGCAATTTGTAACGTACCTGAGTGTCCATACCAATAAGAGTGTATTGAGGAACGTCTAAAAGGAGAAGTGTTGCTCCGCTCTTCACTGCCTCCAATGCCTTCTCTGGCTCCATTATTTCCGCTCTTCTTCTTTCGACTTCTTTTTTTTAATTACTATTATTTTGGATTGAAGCAAGTCAGCGAAGAAGGAAAGGTTTTGGACTTTCTTTTTTTTTTTTTTTTTCTTTTGGAGCTTATAAGGCCCCTCTGTAAAATCCAGAACCCTGTTGAAATGAAGGTTGAAGGAGGGCTAGAGGCTGACGTGGCAGTTGGTAGGGCAGGTTTGGGCTTTTTCGGGTCAGGGTCTGGACTTTCAAGATTGGGTTTGCGTTGAGTTCGTTGGTATGTCATGGATATCATTTAAATAAGCGGTCCGTTTAGAGATTATTAGCAAGAGTTTTTCTTTACTTAATTAGTATATTTTTAAATTAAAAATAAGATAAATAGTATCCGAATTTATTTAACTTTTCATTGAATTTAATGAGATTTGAAATAAAATAATACATTAATTATATAAGAAAGAAGCTAGAAAATATAGACAGGCCAAGCTTGAACTTGATATACAAAACTGAAGGCCAACTTTAGTAGGCTTGTAATTTCTTTAGGCAGTAAATAAATAATAATAAGAAGAAGAAGAAGAGAATTGGAGAAACATTCATGTTAAACGTTACCTCCCCAGTGCTTTGCTTGCCTTCCGTCAGCACCGTAACATGTTTACATGTCAAAATGAGGAGCCATGCAGAACAAATAGTTGAACATATAACAGGATATACAGCAAGGATTAAACTGGAAATAGATCAAGTAAATGCACGATAGGAACAAGTTTTCTGACATTTAAAAACAAAATGACTATCACATCCAAAGGATGTCCCCAAAATTTTTCTTTAAGCTGACGCATGAAGATTCATGAGTTCAGCTTCTTCGAGCATCTGTATCTATAGCCATTGAAAGAAATACAATCTAATGAACTTGAGGAGTTCCAAGAGTCTTCATCTATTTTCTTTTTGACATTTCTCTTTATTTGTTCTGGCACAATGCTGTACATTTTGTATAGCAATAGACCTTTATGGCAGAACAGGAGAATTGTTCTAATTTAATAGATATCAGGCATTGGCATTCAGGTGTATTTGTCAGCTTTGAACGTCAATTTCGGGTTGCGGATGTCATCCTGGCTCTGAATCAGCCGGATCTCTAAACTGCTTGATTGAGAATCAAATCCAGCTCTCCTATAGTCACTTAACGTCCTCTGCAAAAGTGCCTGCATAGAAGTTGAACCATGAATGAAATATGTTTTCAAGATTAAGAATTCACTCAGATTAAAACTACATGAAATTTTAGATTACATAGACACCAATGAGGATTTGATATAAAATATTAAGTGCACAAGATCAAAAGTTGTTTTGCCCTCATATAAACGCCTATGGTTCTAAGACCCTGCTCAGGCATGAGGACAAGATGCAAACAAATATCCAACCTGTGCCTGCAGCAAGATGGGGTATAAACACCATAGATCCCCACTAAATGGCCATAAGAAGAAAAAGGGGAATCTACCAGACAAGGCTTTCACAAGGCCTGTGTGTGTGAGTGTTGTGTATTATATTTCCTGGAGCATGATGTCAATAGCCACAATGTTGGCTTATAAGTCAAAATATTGAACATATATTCACCAACAAAAATTCATGATAATGTAAATGTCAGTCTGAACATTTGAATATTTAACTTTTCCCTGTGTAATGTCAACACAATCTGATTGAAGGCCAAAATTTTTCACATTCTTATTTCAATATATTATGTCCTGTAAGTACCACAGCTTAGAATTCACCAATCAAATGGCATCAAATTATAATCCCTTTACATGAAGAATTTTGAAAGCAAAAGCGAAGTCTTCCTCCATCCTAGTTCTGGTTCATGGTCTTAAAATAAGTCAAATTCAAAAAAGAGTCCCCATTGGAACACAATGCTAGAAATCCTTTCTAGATTCCAAGATTAAAAGGATAATTATCAGCCCTCTCTTTAGAATCAACTCAGGGCATGGGCATTTTTCTCCTTAACAATGAGGCAGGTTGTGTTCTTTGTCACAAAGTATTATTAACACATTAGTATCAGAATATAATAATAAGATTTCCTACAATAATTCATAACTTGAAATGCCTCCAAAAGTGTATGTAAACTTGTTCAATCACTGCAATTTAAAGATGCACATAGAAGGGCTTTTTATCTCTCTGGAAATACAGAATGTTAACTAAAGGTACAAGATAGAACCTAAAGATCAAAAGAACAAATACCTGCAAACTTGATACTGCTAGCTCTGCTGCCTTGTCAAGGTTGTCGGGATATTTCTGAGTAGAACAAGGAGCATAAATGTAAGAAATGAAATTTTACATAATGGCTTGAGGCTAGAATAAAAGCAAGAAGAATTACATTACTCCACCCAAGTAGAAGTGCAGTCATTAGATCTCCTGTTCCCTACAGAAATATGGATGCTCATCAGCATAATCATTTCCTAAACTGCATGGTTAGTATGCCAAGAATGAAGCACAATAAAAGGGAACGCAACAACAATGCCCTATTATAGTTGCAAATAAAGCTAAAACCCGACCATGAGCAAACAAAATGCATGAAACATCATCATCTGCAAGAAACGTGCAAGAAAGGGGAAACACAACTGAAAAGCTATTGGTTTCCTTCTAACTATTTCTTTAAAGTGTATGACTCAATTTTCTTGCAGGATTAATTCCATAACTAATTAGGGGTCAGGGAAGCCTTAGTTTGTTATTTTCAATATCAGAGGTCCATCATCTGCAAGAAACGTGCAACAAAGGGGAAAGACAACTGAAAAGCTATTGGTTTCCTTCGAAGTAATTCTTTAAAGTGTACAACTAAATTTTCTTGCAGGATTAATTCCATAACTAATTAGGGGTGAGGGAAGCCTTTGTTTGTTATTTTCAATATCAGAGGTTCCAAAGATTTTCCACAAGGACTTCAGCACTTACAGTGTCTAAGATATTGACGTCTAGTGATTGAATTATCAAATTTTTCAGAAGCTCCAGCAATAATATAATCTATCAAGGGAACATATGATAAGCAGAGATCTATATTCATGCTAATAGGTCCAAAATCTATTATGATATGACCCAACAGTACATGGCTCTTCCCAGGTTATACCTTCCAGCTACAAAAGCCGAGACTCACATCTGTAGTAATAGAGGAACGAATATAATCATGTTCTCCTCTCCTAACATTGTTCCCTCCCATTAAGCATGCTACTAGCTCAAACTATGTTAAGGTGATATTAGAGTTGCCTGCTTGGCCAACAAGAATTAAGTATGTGATTGATAACAGTCTGGTTTTTTACTCTGGTAAAAATTGTATTGTTAAAAACTTGATTTAGGCAGTTAATCACTTCTATTATAAATAATTAACAGACTCATGACACATCAAGGGAAGGATACACAATCATCAAAAATTGTAGGGTGGTCAACTTTGTTAGATCTTCTGAAGATCAATTCAACCAGTATGCATGATCAAATACTTGCCCTTCCATATAGGACAATCTTTTCATATTCAAGAGGCCAATACTAAATATATTCAACATATATTTGGCATTAAATGAACCTTTCTATACTCATTTATTCAATACTGCATCAATAGCTTGATTGAATAAAAGTTATCGTCTTCAGATGCCAGAGACCAAACCCATGGGTTCTTCAACAACAACGAAGTCATCTTGGCTCAATGGAACAAGCTCCACTTGTCCTTTAATAGGTCCTAATTATACTAGTCTGATTGAATAGCGTTGTCAGGGGTACCTTCAACTTCTGTGAATTATAATTATCATAGATCTTTGGCTTTAAATTGGGTCTCATTCCAAAATCTGTTGATTTTATGCACAACATAAGTTTGGTGTTTGCCTATTTATATTTCCTCTTGTGGAGAATGTAGATTAGGATTATCAAGGGACAATCTGTGATTGAATGATTAAATAGCTTCTCCCATTCTTTTTTGCTATTCTTATATTTCTGCATCTATAAGAACTCATATTTTTCACTCATTTTATTATCTGCATCTATAGCAGATCAAGTTACTGTCACAGCACATAAGAGCACCTTTAAACCTGCTCTATTCTACTTTGCTGCCACTCACAACTCACAGCAAATAAATTCATCAATTCATGCCACTCTATTGTTCTTTAACTGTAACCAGTAATGGAGGAAAATAGTAATTCAATTACTATTCCTAAACACCATTATCTATTACAACAAACCCAGAAGTCCCTTCATTTCAACCCAAACCAAAGAAAAGCCTGAGTAGACAGACATCCCTGAATCTTTCAAATCTCATCAGCATTCAATTTCCTCACAACAGCATAAAAGTAAATCATTTTGCCTTATACATATAGCTAATAGCTAGACTTTGACCTCAAGCAGCCTACAGATTGGATTTCAGGACTTTCAACTAAAAGCTCTGAAGTTCGAACCATGGTAAGGGGGCAAGGTTTATAGGATGGATGAGGACTACCATTTGTTTAGGCCAAAGCCAGTGGGTTTCCATATGCAAAAGAAAGATAGTACCTCCTCTCTGCAAATATTTTGATTTGCTCCGAAATTGAAGAAAATTTAAGAAACGCATTAAATAATACATTTAATTGAACAATTTTACTTCAATTTATATAAGGTGTTGATTTTTGTTGTCTTCTGGTAGTAACTTTTAACAAAAATGGGTATAAAAGTAAAAATTAAAAGTAACAGTAAGTGCTTATATATCTATATCACTGGATAAACAGTTTTAAAAACATATATGGAATAATGCCACAAAAGGAAACCTAGCTTGGGTGGTACCTGCCAACTTGCTAAAGCAGTTCTAAGGCCAAGTTAGAGGTCAAAACCACTGCAACATAGGCACATTAAGTTTCTAACAATCCCCAGCTATCAACACAAACAATAACCATAAAAGAAATAGTGCACCAAAAAGGGGATGACATTATCATTGAATGAAAAGGTTTATGTCAAGAAATGATTTTCATTAGCAAACAATTATTAGCACTACAAAACCATTTTCAAATTTCCAGCAAAAGGAATTCATGAGAAAATTTAGCATACCGTAAAATATGCAGGAATTTTGGGTATCACAATCTTGAATTGCTCTGGAGGGTGTTCCTGTCAAATTCAATACCACAATAAACAGAGACAAGCTTATCAGCATCATATTGGAGTCCAGCATTACCATAAGTTCCATAAAGGATCAAAGAGAATAAAATGATGAAACCACTTTCATTCAGTGCAACAGTTAATTCCCCACCCCCCTCTTTCAAAAAGGATCAAAGAGAATAGTGACTATCCAACAAGTCACTGTCAATCAGCCAACTTCACGCATAGCATTTCAGAAACATTAATTAAAAACTCCCTTGATAAATTGAATGTCCCCTTTCTAAATGGCACAAAGTTTTATACATCAGGTACTCCCTTACTCTCCAATTTACCCTCCAAGTTCCATAAGGGCTAGAGGGTGGCCCACCTAAATTATTGCACTTCATTTGAAAAGAAATAATTTTTTACCTCTTGGTAAATATAGGAAAATTTTATCTGCATTCGGGAAAGTGGACACTATTCTGAAACATCCAAATACAGTGGGACGAATATTCACTATGAAGTGGATGGAGTATCTATTTTTTATTCTTGGTATGATGTAAAGATGTGAAATTTCGAATACTGACTTAGGCCATGCTAGCTGAGGGTTTTATATAGGTATCCTTAAACATTTTATTATAATGAACCCACATTGGTCACCCTTAAGTAGCACAGACAGTATTAGAAGCCAGCCCTATCTGAGTGCAGAATATTAACCCTGATACTCATTGAATGCATCCAAAATATTTCAAAATAAAATATCAGAAACAATTACCCTTCTTCTTTTACAGTTTTACTCCTAGCCCAATAGAAGGAAGAATATTCAGTCCCTCCTTTTAATCTCCAAATCAACAGAGAAGACACACTTGAAAATCAAGATGCAGTCCTTTTACCACATAAAATTATCTATAACAAAAGATAAGACAAACAAGAAGCCTAAATGTCATGTGAATAATGTCTGTTTGGACCTTCTTAGTGCTAAAAAGGCTCTTTCTTGATGTATTATGCAGAAATGCCAGTATGAACAAATTACTGTTATTACAAAAAGCAGCAAGTGTAAGAACATACAATCACAACAACTAACTGCACCAGACTTTAATGCTCGATTAAATTAAATGAACCTGCAACTGAAATATAAAGTCAAGAGCACAGTGAAGACACACTTGAAAATCAAGATGCAGTCCTTTTGCCACATAAAATTATCTATAACAAAAGATAAGACAAACAAAAAGCCTATATATCATGTAAATAATGTGTTTGGACCTTCTTAGAGCCGAAAAACCTCTTTCTTGGTGCATTATGCAGAAATGCCAGTATGAACAAATTACTGTTATTACAAAAAGCAGCTAGTGGAAGAACATACAATCACAACAACTGCACCAGATTTTAATAATAAAATAAATTAAATGAACCTGCAACTGAAATATAATGTCAAGAGCACAGTGTCATATTCAGCAGACTCTACCTTATCTTTCTGATGACTACCAATGAGAAGAAGATTGCCATCTATATTGATGCTAGTAATCACAACCTGAGATTGATCAAAATTTGCAGAGTGTAATATAAATCATTAATTAAGGTTAAAGTCACATTTACATGCAGTTGTAGATAAGGTCCTTGAATGGAGGAGCTAAAGAGCTGAAGGATGATTTTTCTTTTCTACTAGTCTAACCTCAGAACAAAAATGGATTGAAAGAGGCCATAAAAGCACATAGAAGTAATTTTCCATCAACCATAACGTGAGCCACAGAACCCATTCTATCTTCATTGTATGTAATTTGCAAAAGTATATGAGATTAATGGACTAATATCATGTTTTCAAGTGAGTAACTAGGTCTGTATCTTTGTGTCTCTATGTACATCTTAGGACTAGGCAAAATTCATTTCTTTCTGTTCAGTGCAGAATTAATGGACTTTAGCATACGAGCCTTAAAGCAGATTTACATACTATCTCAACCTAACTTTTTCTTAGTTTTTTAATCTGTCTGTAATTATATCAAGGTTGCCAGAATTACTTGGAGTTAATGCTCCAAAGCATAAGTGAAGGTAAATGTACCAAAAATCTGCCCTGTCTTTAAATATATATCCTTTTTGTAAGATTATAAAGATGGAAAAGAAAACAACAACTTGGCTTTCCTCTAGATGCAGATTGACAAGGCAAAAGAAATAAAGGAAATAAGACAAAGGTAATGAGCTTTCATGTTCAAAGTTCTAAGCCAAGATGCAGAAAATAATGAACCTTTGAAGGCCCAGCAGCATGAAGAATGTTACAAGCTTCCCGACCATCTGTTTCTGAACTAATCCTGCAGTAACTAAATATTCTAAGAAACAGCAACAGAAGGCAGAAGATGCAGCAAAAAGAAAGCCCACTGCTATTAATACAAGGAAAGACAGAGGCTCAAATAGTAATTCCATTCTGATGCAAATAGCAACCCAAGCAAAATGTAGCTGTTAAAAAATGGTTACAAGGTTCAAATCCTAGTATAACATATACAAACAGTTGGTGAAGAGAGAGAGACAGAGATAGCAAGAGAATCTGTTTGTCCCAATCTTTCAAAGGCAGACAAGTAAAGGAAATCAAGTGGAAAACAAAATAAACCACCAAACCTCTTCTTAGAACCAAGTCAAGTTGGATGGTCTTGCTAGAAGAAATAAGCCCCTCTTTGAGCCAAGAGCCAAAATGTCAACCTCCTAGCAGGTCAGTTTGTGCGTTATATAGCATATTCCCCCAAATATAGGGTGAATAAAATCCAATTTTGTCTAAAGGGGACATAGCAGCATGCCTCTATGAATCTAATTATGTTCCTTTTTCCCCAGTATCAGCCTATTGATTAGAGTTATATGCATTGACTTACACTGAACAAAGCGGCTTTGCTTGGACAATTAGCAAACTGGCAAAAGAAGCATACTTCTATTAATGGCACAACTTATTACTGAAAGGTTACCATCAAGCATACATGAAATAGAACAACTGCTTGCTTTTGAATTTCATTTACTTCTATTAATACGTCCAAGCCTGAAATTTGAAGGTCCAGTTCTCTCTTCTTCCTTTGTTTTGGCAAAAGAAAAGCAACTTGTCAGAAAGCTTGACTACATGTCTTGGTTAAACATGAATTCTCCTTTCGAAAGCTCAATTCATAATTTAGCCTATCAAAAACTCTAGAGACACCTCAGTGCATATCCCAATGAACCATAATCAGTGACTCAAACCTCTAATTCTGGGCAGAAACAATCATATGACTTCCTAAGTGGTATCTATTTGTCCATTGCACAGTGTGAAGAGAAGAAAAACCAAGCAATTCTCCTAGAAATCATAACCAAGGTTTTGCATTTAGCATAAACACACAGACAAAAAAAAATGTTTTTTTTTTAAAAAAAAAACAGGTATTTTTAAAAGAAAAAAACGGGTTTTAAAAAAAAAATGATGCAGACCAGGAACTCAAAAATATTGAGAATTGAAATTTTGAAAATCCTTTTGTAGATCAAATGTCTATAAGATATGAACCCCTCTGCCTTTTACATGCTGTTACTAAAGTCCCATAAGATTTCCAACAAAACATAAACAACAAAAGGGAAACAACATTGTGGTGTACAGCAAATCGAAGTTTACAATGAAGAAATAATCTTCCACAATTTTTATTATATAGTGTCAGAGAGTACCTTAATTTAGTCAACAACTCTGCTTCAAACTGGTTAGGAGTCAACATGGAAGCCACTGGGACAACCTAACCACAAGGACTGTTACTAACATGTACAACAACTTAGCACTATAATTTAAACAGCTGGTTTTGCACCAAGATAATTAAAGCAGATTTGCTCCAAGATGAATACACAAATGATTGCTATTTAAGCTCACAATTTAAAAATTCTTATCAACTCACACTTCGAAAGTGCAGTTACCAATGGGTTTACTGTGCATGAAACAACCACATTACAAAAATTGAAGATGTGGACAAAGGATATAGAAATGGAACACTTGGAAGTTTGCAGATAATAATTGGATTGCTCACCTTTTCACGATATACTGATACCAGATCTTCAGGGACATAGAGTTTTCCTTCATCACCCATCACTGGATCACAAACTAGACAAGAGATCCAGACATTAACAAAAAAGGCCACTGTCTTGCTTTACGTTTGGGAAAGACAGAAGGGAAGGAGGGAGGATGGGGTTGGGCAGTGTATAACTTTCATTATTACGCCAGAGGTAGACACTAACAAAGATACAGAGCACATCACACATAACTAAAGACCACAAAAGGTTCCAAGTATAAAAACATTTTTATTGAGTATCACATTGTTAACAAAAGAAAGGAAGTGGAAAGTTTCCAAGCTTCCGGTTAAAAGTAAAGCTAGGGCTGCATTGCAATCTCTACTTCCATCAGTCAAAAATTTTTCATTTTAATGCCTTTTCAGTATTTGTTCTTTCTTAAACCTAAATTTTTGTCTCAAATTGGTAATTTCACTTATGCAAGCAACAGAAAAAGAATGCAAAATGTTAATCACTTATATCAATAAATAAGGAGTTCAAACAAATCAATTTGTGTTATCAAAGGTTAAATTAATTACAAAAGGGACCAAACACAATCAAGCAATGCTTAATATAAGGTCCAATAGCTTCATGAGATTTGAGTAGTCTACTTACCATAAGTAAGATTTGGATTTACAGAGCGAAGCTTATGTACAACCTCCAATACTTTGTTCAAAAAAGAAACAGAACCAATATAACCTGTAAATCACCAGAAAAAAATTGAAGCAATAGATATTAAAACAGATAATCATGGACAGTCAGAAAGCAAATGTGATTACAGCTCATCTATTAATCTCAAGAGTAACAGTTCGATCCTAATGATTAAACATCAGTATAAATACTTCAATTCTTCAAATAGGAAAAAGACAAATTCATTTTCAGCAACAAAAGTAAATCCACTTGATGATTGCTGAAACAGAGAAATAGAAAATGAACAGAAACAAATGATATTGCACAGCTATTCTAATGGCATAAATAAAGAATATCATTTACATGTCTAATTAATGGTGCCAAATATACCAATGCAACTACCTAGTATATGAAAGCCTAACATCTCAAAGCAGTGAAGAATTACCCACTCATTCAAATGAGTTAATCAATCAAAACACAATACTCCCTCCGTCCCATTTTCTTTGTCACTCTTTGACTTTCATGAAGTGAAAAAGCATAGACTTTAGTGTATTTTATATTAAAATTTTAAAAAAGAAATTCATAAAATTGATATTCTATGCTTTTTAATGCCAAAAAGTTCAAAAAATTTGAAAAAAAAAAGAATATAGAAAAAGTATGAGTATTGGATGTTACAAAATGAAAAGAGGACATAGTTTTAGGATATACAGAAAAATGAATATGGACAAAGAAAATGAAACAGAAGGAGCATTGAATTGATGTTGCACTTTAGCTATTTGTTTATTTTTAAACAATTATGATTTTACCTTTCACCATTTCCTTTTTCTTCATATCAGCAACTAAATGGAACCCAAACTAATTAACAAATTAAGAGATTAGTTTAGCGCAGATCTTGACCAAAATGACATGATTTTTGTACCATTCACGCATTCATTGCTAAGAAACCATTACAACCTACATTACAAATAAGAATAAATAAAATAACTGAAATCCAGTACAAAAGCATCCAATGTTAACACTTTTTGGGACACAAGTTGTTAAAATATCCAACCGTAGGATGTGTTACTCTGTTTCCTCTCTGTATAGTGGGTGGAAAATTCCAGAGAGCCACCCCAGACATAGCAGAGAATTTCTCTTCTTTTCAAATAATGTTATATGTTCCTTTCCATTTAAATATTGTATAACGATCTTTCTTTTCTTTTTTTTCTTTTTCATAAATGAAGAAAATATTATATAACAATCTATAGAGAATTATAGCATGAAACAGCTTCCATCATCAAAGCAGCTACCAGAATTAAGATACCTGTTAATAAATGAGTATAGTATAATAAATCATTCGCTTCAAGGCCTCCTATTAAATCCCACAATTGTTGTCCATTCAAAACGTGACCCTTAAATGTTGGGTATCCTGCACAGTTCTCAGATAGATTAAATATGCTATGTAATGTATTTTGGTCAGAACACCAAGCCTGAACTTATACAGATTGACAGCTGGCATCGCACCGTATATCAGGCCTTAGATTTCTGAGACTTTTGAGTAGTAGTATAAGCAGCTTGCCTGTGTGATTTGAAAACTGCACTGAATTGATTGGGTCCACATCATAGCCAAGTAGTTGGAGAGGAAAGACTGCTGACTTATTACCAACGTATCCCTGAGGATAAAAAAAAAGGAAAATTAAGTTACAATTGGAATAGAATATATCAGAAAATTTCTATATATAAGAAACATTCTTGCCAGATAAAGAAATTAAACGAAAGTAACATCAACCACACTACATATAAATAGTTCAGTCGTATACTCCAAATGTTCCTTTAACTGCTTGTAGGAGAAAAATAAGAATTTATGCCAAATGTTTTTCAAAAAACAGATAAGAACAATTCAGTGACGTAATAACCAAAACACGGAAGGAACATATTCACAAAATCAGTTCCCAGTTTGTGATAACATGAAACGGTGATTCTGTAGCTAATAAGAAGTACACTAACAAGACATAAAGACAGTGATCAAAGCTAGACCATCTGTTATTTATATTACAAATCTAAGAAACAAATGCAATATTCTTAATACACAGAAGTCAACACAATGCATAGATGAAAAGAAAAAAGAATATTGAAAACACAATAAAGATCAACATGCTGCTTTAAAACTCTATATTAAATCACTTTTATTTTTTGTATCCCAGGAAAATTATAGTAAAAGGATATGTCTAAAAATGCGTAGAATTTTAGCTTAAAGCATATGAATTGCCTTGAGAATTACTATCTCAGAGGGTTCTTAATTTATCACCAAGATTACCTTTTCTAATCACCGTTTTTCACCATCATCAACACAGTAAACTATTCAATTATATAAGTTCCAACAGAAAGGGTATTGCATATCAAAAGACAAAAGTAATATTAAATGAGGATAGGCCACATAGGTGAGTATTTTGTATTTCATTAGCATTTTCACAAAGGTATCGAGTATAGACAAAAAGTATCCAATTGTAATTACATCAGCAAACAGGCCGCATATCCGATCCAAAATAGCAAGACAGCCTAAATTCAAAATCACAAGAAGGAGAAAAAGTACAGATCTTCAATATTAACTTCTCTATATGGATAATATGACATAATTTCACTTGTCAGATAACTGAGGTTACTTGACAAGCACCTCCCACTTCGCTGGAATTAGGCACAAGACAACCCCCACCCCAAAGTTACAAACCACACAACGCAAATAATCATGACAAAATGCAAGAAATACAAATGTTTGGAACCAACACTAGTTTTAAATATGTATTAAAAGCAGAATAATTCCATATTTCTAGTATCTTGTATAATTTGACCTTTTGACTTCTTTATCTTTCTGAGGGAAGAATGCCCACTAAATTGGGGATTTTCCCATACCAGAGTACCACCATGCCCATTTAAGTAGATCTACAGTAGGCCTCCACATTTACACATCTAGTGCACAAGATTAATGGTCCATTCTATTTCTTACTACAGAAAGTAAAATACTACTCGGGTAAGTTACAAATTGCATATATTAGCCCAAAGAGAGTGATGGGTTTCTTCCACTCACTGTTTACTAGAATGAGATAATAAGGTAAGACAAGCAAAATGTAGATTTTCTTTATTATATCAATAAGTTTTAGGGGGAAAATATAAGGAAAAATTACACCGCTCAGGAATAAGCTTTAAATTCTTATTATTTGTCTTCAACTACACTATTTCACATAAATTTCCTAATATATATATTGCTTCACATTATCCCTCAAAGAAGCAGATTATACAATCATTCAAAGTTTCATTCTTCACTTAGTTCCTCATTAACGTCTCTCTCTATCCATTACTAAAATAGTACAACTAAGAACATAAATAACATATAGATTACATGAACAAAAACAACGACTCTAAACAAATACATACAGAGATGCCCAAAAAAAAACTAAAAAAATGTAATGCTACTTGTCCCACTACTTACATCCCCTCCGAAGTTCAAGGTGGGATCTCCCAATTCATGAGTAAGTCTACTTATCAGAGTTGGACAATAATTATTATCACCTCTGATGGGGCAAAGAGCAGTTCCCAACAAAAAATTCTAATCTTCTTTTTGCAAAATTATATTTATTAATTTGTTGAAAGTCAAACCCCGCTTTTCACAATGTTTGACTTTTAATACATCATGACTTTTATTACATCATGTGAATGTGAATTACGTTCATTAAAAAATATTAATTACAAAAAAGACAAAAGAAAAATAAGTTTTTATTAAGTAGAGATTAATCTTCATCATCATTTTCTTCCTCGTTCAACTTTCTCAGCGACCAAACAGAAGAGAAAGGAAAAAGAACCGTTAAAGAGAAAACAAAGGAGAAATAAAACCTGAACTGTGTGAGACTGAATGCTGAGAACTCGACCGGTATCCGAAGGAAGAGCCAAGGATAAGATCGGAGGTGACGCCATTTCCGAGTTCCTCAAACTTCGAGAACTTCAATAAATTTCAAAACCAATTCATCACCATAGTAATCAATAAAGAAAGAAACAAACAAACAAAAACAAATTTTTAAAAAAGAATTTAAATTATACGGGAAAATTATGGGAAAATCTTTAAAATTTTACCGGGAAAAAGAACTAAAAGTTTTATCTCGGAAAATGCCCGATTGCGAAGAACGGCCGCTGAGTGAAGAGCAAAGCAGCATAAAAGAAGGTTGAACTAAAAGATGTTTGAGTGTTTTGGGGCGAAGAAATTTATAGTGAAAACTATGGTCACGTGCGATTGATGTTAAATTACGGAAAATACCATTGCTTTTGGCGTGGTGGTTGCTGGGACCATCGAGGGTAATTTGTAATTTGGGTATTTGAGGTGGGTCCGAATCTAAATAGCTGTGTTGAATGTTGACCAGAACTGCAAGTCTTTGGTCGGATTTAAAATTTTCGAAAGTTAAAAAAATTAAATTAATTTAAAAAACAAATCAAATTGACTGAATTATATAAAATATCGGGCAAATTTTATAGTGAGGTTAACCTTAATGTAAGGCTACAAATAAAAGTCATTAGATTTAAAGGGTTCATTTTCAGCCCCTGATCAATGAAAAAACTTGCAATCTGTTAACCTGACAAACAGGTTAAATTAAAACTTAAATAACCCAAAATAAATAAAATTAGAAATGATAATTAAAAGGAATTAATTAACCAAAAAATATTAATTAAAGCAAAAAAACTAACAAAGAGAATAACAAAATTTTTAACGAAGTAATTAACCAAAATATATTAATTAAAGTGAAAAAACTAACAAGGAGAATAATAGAAATTTTATGAAAATTAATCATTTATAATTATATTCTCAATTAAAAAAATAAATATTGAAAAAATTTTAAATAAATATTATAACAAAAATTTAGTGTAATAAATTAATATTTTAATAATAATTATTTATTTTTGTTATTACTCATTTATAAGTTAACATTTATAAATCGTTAAATTCTTTTAACTCAATAATAAAAAATTAAATGTTTAATTTTAACAAAAAATAAATTTATTTTGACATAATTGACTTGTTATATTAAATCACACACATTCACATCAATATTTTGACAATGCTTATTCCATCTTATCACGTTTTATGTTAATTCTTACGACTTATATCATGACTTTTCAACTAATAATTTTCTTTATAATTCTTTTAATCCTTACTATTATTTACACATACATTAAAATTTGTCAATTGTAAAACACTTTAAACACAAGAATAAAAAGTTAAATATTTAAGTGTTTTACGACTTACCAATTTTAATTTATATGTGAATAATAATAAATATAAAAAAATTGTAATGAAAATTAGTATTTAAAAAACCTTAACGTAAAGTATTAAGAATTAATATAGAATATTAGAAAGATTGAACAAGCATTTTAAAAAATATTGATATAAATGTGTAAGATTTAATGCAACAAGTCAATTATATTTACTAAACATAATTTATTGAGAAATTAAATATTTAAATTTTTATTCTCGAGTTTAAAGTGTTTTACGGCTTACAAATTTTAATCTATACATGAATAATAGTGATGATAAAAAAAATTACTATAAAATTAGCATTTAAAAAGTTTTAACTTAAAGCGGTAAAAATTAACATAAAACATTATAAAAGTGAAATAAGCATTTTAAAAGTATTGATGTAAATATGTGATATTTAAAGTAACAAGTCAATGATGTCCAATAAACATAATTTTTAGAGAAATTAAACTGTTAAATTGTTATTCTCAAGTTTATAGTGTTTTACAACTTAAAAATTTTAATTTATGCATGAATAATAGTAAGAATAAAAAGAATTACAATAAAAATTAATATTTAAAAAGTCTTGACGTGAAGCGATAAGAATTAACGTAAAACATTATAGAAATGGAACAAGTATTTTTAAAAAATTAACGTAAATATGTGAAATTTAACATAACAAGTTAATTATGTTAAATAAACATAATTTTTGAAAAAATTAAACATTTAACATTTTATTCTCGTGCTTAATATGCTTTACGCTTGCAATTTTTAACTTAAGCATAAAAATAATAAAGATAGTAAGCATTACGATGAAAATTATTAGGAGAATACTCATAATGTAAAATAGTAGAAATTAACGTAAAATATTATAAAAGTGGAATAAACATTTTTAAAATATTGATGTAAAACTGAACGAAACAAGTCAATTTTATCAAATAAATATAATTTTTAGAGAAATTAAACATTTAAATTATTATTTTTTAGTTTAAAGTGTTTTACAACTTAAAAATTTTAATCCATACATGACCAATAATGAGGATAAAAAGAATTACGATTAAAATTAACATATAAAAAGCTTTGATAGAAAGCGGTAAGAATTAACATAAAATATTATAAAGTTGGAACAAGCATTTTAAAAGTATTGACATAAATATGTGAGATTTAACGTAACAAGTCAATGATGTCTAATAAATATAATTTTTGAAGAAATTAAACATTTAAATTGTTATTATTGCATTTATAATGTTTTACGATTTAAAATTTTTAATTTATGCATAAATAATAATAAGAATAAAAAGAATTATAATAAAAATTAATATTTAAAAAGTCTTGACGTGAAGCAGTAAGAATTAACGTAAAACATTATAAAAATGAAACAAGCATTTTAAAAAAATTAACGTACATGTGTGAGATTGAACGTAACAAGTGACTTATGTTAAATAAATGTAATTTTTGAGAAAATTAAACATTTAACCTTTTATTCTCGTGTTTAAAATGTTTTACGCTTACAATTTTTAACTTATGCAGAAAAAAACTAAAGATAAAAAGAATTACGATGAAAATTATTAGGAGAATACTCATAATGTAAAATAGTAAAAATTAATGTAAAACATTATAAATGTGGAATAAATATTTTCAAAAAATTGACATAAATATGTGAAACTTAACGAAACAAGTCAATTATATCTAATAAACATAATTTTTAAAGAAATTAAACATTTAAATTGTTATTCTCATGTTTAAAGTGATTTACGATTTAAAAATTCTAATTTATGTGTAAATAATAGTAAGGATAAAAAAAATTATGATAAAAATTAATATTTAAAGAGCCTTGACGTAAAGCGGTAAGGATTAATAGAAAATATTATAAAAAAGGAACAAACATTTTCAAAATATTGATGTAAATTTATGAAATTTAACGTAATAAATCAATTATGTCAAATAAACATAATTTTGAAAAAATTAAACATTCAACTTTTAATTCTCGTGCTTAAAGTTTTTTACGACTTACAAATTTTAATCTATACATGAATAATAGTAATGATAAAAAGAATTATAATGAAAATTAATATTTTAAAAGTCTTGACGTAAAGCAGTAAGAATTAACGTAAAACATTATAAAGGTGGATCAAGAATTTTTAAAATGTTGATATAAATAAGTGAGATTTAATGTAACAAGTCAATTATGTCAAATAAACATAATTTTGAAAAAATTAAACATTCAACTTTTTATTCTCGTGCTTAAAGTTTTTTACGACTTACAAATTTTAATCTATACATGAATAATAGTAATGATAAAAGGAATTATAATGAAAATTATTAGTTAAAAAGTCATGATGTAAAGCGATAGGAATTAACATAAAACATTATAAATGTGAAACAAACATTTTCAAAAAATTGACATAAATGTGTGAAATTTAACGTAAAAAGTTAATTATGTCAAATAAACATAATTTTTCAGAAAAGTAAGCATTTAAATTATTATTCTCGAGTTTAAAATATTTTACAGATTACAAATTTTAATCTATGGGTGAATAATAGTGAGAATAAGAAAATTATGGTAAAAATTAATATTTAAAAAATTTTGACGTAAATTAGTAAGAATTAACGTAAAATATTATAATGGTAAAACAAGCATTTTAAAAATAGTGACGTAGATGTGTGAAATTTAACATAACAAGTAAATTATATGAAATAAACATAATTTTGAAAAAATTAAATATTTAACTTTTGATTCTCAAGTTTAAAGTGTTTTACGGCTTATAAATTTTAATCTATGCATAAATAATAGTAAGAATAAAAGGAATTATGATAAAAATCATTACTTGAAAAGTCATGACATAAAGCAGTGTGAATTTACGTAAAATATTATAAAGGTGAAACAAATGTTTTCAAAATATTGACGTAAACGTATGAGTTTTAACGTAACAAGTCAATTATATATAATAAATATAATTTTTTTAAAAATTAAACATTTAACTTTTTATTCTCGTGTTTAAATTATTTTACAGCTTTCAAATTTTAATTTATGCGTGAATAATAGTAAGAATAAAAAGAATTATAGTAAAAATTAGGATTTAAAAAACCTTGATGTAAAACGGTAAGAATTAACGTAAAATATTATAAAGGTGAAACAAATATTTTAAAAATATTGACCTAAATGTATGAGATTTAACGTAACAAATCAAGTATATCTAATAGACATAATTTTTAGAGAAATTAAATATTAAAATTGTTATTCTAGAGTTTAAAGTATTTTACGACTTACAAATTTTAATTTATGCGTGAATAATAGTAAGGATAAAAAGAATTATGATGAAATTATTAATTGAAAAGTTATTAATTTAAATATGTGAAATGTAACATAAGAAGTCAAATATGTCTACTAAACAAAATTTTTAGAGAAATTAAATATTTAAATTATTTTTTTTGAGTTTAAAGTGTTTTACGGCTTACAAATTTTAATCTATATATGAATAGTAATAAAGATAAAAAGAATTAGATAAAAGTTATTAGTTGAAAGTTATGACGTAAGACAGTAAGAATTAAAATAAAACATTATAAAGATGGAATAAGCATTTTTAAAATATTCATGCAAATGTGTGAGGTTTAACGTAACAAGTCAATTATGTCTAATAAATATGGTTTTTGGAGAAATTAAACATTTAAATTATTATTTTCGAGTTTAAAGTGTTT